TTGGGGGCACTTGGGTGGCTCAGTCAGTTAAGTGTCCGACTTGGGCTCAGATCATGATCTCACGGTTCATGGGTTTGAGCCCCACATTGGGATCTGCGCTGACAGCTCAGAGCCTGGAGCCTGCTTTGGATTCTGTGTCTCCCTCTCTTTCTGTCCCTCCCCTACTCACAATCTATCTCTCAAAAATAAATAAATGTTAAAAAAATGTTTAGGGGTGCCTGGGTGGCTCATTCAGTTAAGCATCGACTTCAGCTCAGGTCATGATCTCATGGTTTGTGGATTCGAGCCCTGCGTTGGGCTCTGTGTTGACAGCTCTGAGCCTGGAGCCTGCTTCAAATTCTGTGTTTCCATCTCTCTCCACCCCTCCCCCACTCACGCTCTGTCTCTCTTTCTCTCTCTCTCAAAAATAAACATAAAAAATTTAATTAAAAAATGTTTAAAAACTTCATTCTTTTGCATGTGGATATCCAGTTGTCCCAGAGCCATTTGCTGAATAGAGTCTTTTCTCCATTGAATGGTCTTGGCACCCTCACCAAAAACCAGTTTCCCACATATGTGAATTTATTGCTATGCTTTCTATTTTATTCCATTGGTCTTTATGACTGTTCTATGCCAGTACCATGCTGTTTTATTACTGTACCTTTGTAGTATATTAAACATTTTTTTTAAACATTTTTATTTATTTTTGAGACAGAGAGAGACAGTGCAAGTGGGGAGGGGCAGATAGAAAGGGAGACACAGAATCCGAAGCAGGCTCCAGGCTCTGAGCTGTCAACACTGAGCTCGATGGGGAGCTCGAACCCACAAACCATGAGATCATGACCTGAGCTGAAGTCGGGTGCTCAACATACTGAGCCACCCAGGCGCCCGTCTTTATAGTACATTTAAAAAAAGTAAGCTCAATGCTCAACGTGGGGCTTGAACTCATGACCCCAAGATGAAGAGTTACATACTCTACTGACTGAGCCAGCCAGGTGCTCCTGTAGTATATTCTGAAATCAGGAAATAGGCGTCCTCCGAATTTGCTCTTCCTTTTCAAGATTGGTTTGGCGATTCAGGGTCCCTTGAGATTCCATATGAATTTTCGCCTGGATTTTTGTATTTTTTGCAAAACACCATTGGGATTTTTATAGGAATCTAATGGAATCTGTAGCTCACCTTGGGTAATATTATTATTGTAGCAATATTATGTCTTCCTATGAACAAGGGGTGTCTTTCATTTATGTCTGATTTAGTTTCTGTCAGCAATGTTTTGTGGTTTTTAGTATACAAGTCTTTCATCTCCTTGATTAAATTTATTCCTAAGCCTTTTATGACGCTAATATAATCAGAACTGTGTTCTGAATTTTCTTTTCAGATTGTTTATTACTAGTGTATAGAAAGGCAAGTGGTTTGGGTGTGATGATTCAACCTTACTGAATTTGTTGATTATTTCTAGGTTTCTGTGTGCATGTGTGGAATCTTTCAACATATGAGATCATATCATCTGCAAATGAAAATAATGTTACTTCCTCCTTTCCAGTTTTGGCACCTTTTGTTTTTCTCTTGCCTAATTGTTCTGGCTAGAATTTTAAGTACTAAGTTGAATAGAAGTGGTAAAAATTGGCATCCTTGTCTTATTCCTCATCTTAGGGAAAAGCTTTTAGTTTTTCACCATTGAATATAATGTTAGCTGTGGGTTTTTCATATATGGTCTTTATCATGTTGAGGACACTGTCTATTATTCCTAGATTGTTGAGTGTTTTTATCATGAATTTTGTCAAATGCTTTTCTTCTGCATCAACTGACATGATCAGATGGGGGTTTTTCCCTTTATTTTATTAATTTGGTGTATTATCTGGGTTGATTTTTGTATGTTGAACAATCCTTGCGTTCTGGGACTAAATCCCACTTGGTCATGCTATATAATCCTTTTAATATGATGCTGAATTCAGTTTGCTAGTATTTGGTTGAGGACTTTGCATCAATAATCATAAAAGATATTGATCTGTAGTTTTCTTTTTCTTGTAGTATCTTTGTGTGGCTTTGGTATCAGCGTAAATGCTAGCCTCATAGAATGACTTAGCAAGTGTTCTCACCTATTCAGTTTTTTGGAGGAGTTTGCATTAATTCTTCATTAAATGTTTGGTGGAATTCAATAATGAAACCATCTGGTCTTGGACGTTTCTTTGTCAGAAGGTCTTTTGATTGATTACTGATTCTATCTACTTACCAGTTGTAGGTCTATTTAGATGTCTCTATTTCTTCTGGAGTCAGTTTTGGTTGATCATGTGTTTCGAGGAATTTGTCCATTTCATCCAGGTTATACAATTTGTCAGTGTACAATTGTTCATACTATTGTCTTGTGATATTTTTTATTTCTGTAAAATTGGTAGAATGTATCTAGTTATATTTCTGTAATTTGAGATTTTAGTAATTTGAGTCTTCCCTCTTTTTTTCCTTAGTCTAACTAAGGTTTGCCCCTCTTATTGATCTTTTCAAAGGATCAATTTTTGGTTTTGTTGATTGTATCCACTGTTTTCTTTTTTTTTTTATTAAAAATTTTTTTTTTCAACATTTATTTATTTTTGGGACAGAGAGAGACAGAGCATGAACGGGGGAAGGGCAGAGAGAGAGGGAGACACAGAATCGGAAACAGGCTCCAGGCTCTGAGCCATCAGCCCAGAGCCTGACGCGGGGCTGGAACTCACGGACCGCAAGATCGTGACCTGGCTGAAGTCGGACGCTCAACCGACTGCGCCACCCAGGCGCCCCTCCACTGTTTTCTTAGTCTCTATTTCATTTATCTCTGCTCTAATCTTTAATATTTCTTTCCTTCTGCTTTCTTTGGGTTTAGTTTGTTTTTTTTCTAGTTCCTTAGGTATGAAGTTATTGATTTGAGGTCTTTCTCCTCCCCCTCCTCCTCTTTCTCCTCCTTCTCCTTTTTTGAAAGAGGGAAGGGCAGAGGGAGAGAGAGAATCTCAAGTAGGATCCACACCCAGCACAGAGCCCAATGTGGGGCTCGATTTCACAACTGTGAAATCCTACATTACCTGAGCAGAAATCAAGAGTCAGACACTTAACTGACTGAGCCACCCAAGTACCTCAAGATCTTTCTTCTTTTTAAGAATGGGTGTCTATAGCTATAAAATCCCTCTGAATATCACTTTCACTGTATCTTATACATTTTGGTATGCTGTGTTTTCATTCATTTCTAAGCATTTTCTAATTTCTGTTGTAATTTCTTTTTTGACCCATTAGTTGTTTAATTTATAGACATTTGTGAATTTTCCAGTTTTCCTTCTGCTATTAATTTCTAGTTTCAATCCATTATAATTGGAAAAGGTACTTTGTATGATGGCAATCTTTTAAAACGTATTAAGACTTGTTTTGTGGCCTACCATATGGTATATCCTGGAAAGTGTTCCATATAAATTTGGGAAGAATATGTATGTTGTTAGGTGGACTGTTATATATGTGCTGTTAGATCTAATTGACTTATGGTGTTATTCACATCTGCCCTCTGTTTCCTTATTGATCCTCTGTCTGATGTATCCATTACTGAAAGTGGGGTATTAATGTCTCTAATCAGTTTACTAGGCGTGCTGTAACAAGTATCACAAACTGAGGAGGGCTTAAAACAAATTTATTTTCTCATGGTTCTGGAGGAGGAAGTCCGAAATCAAGGTGTCAGCAAGGCCCTGCTTTCTCTCATAGCTCTAGAGAGCCTTCCTTGTTTCTTTTTAGTTTCTGGAGTTTGCCAGCAATCTTTGGCATCCATTGGCTTGTGGGTACATTGCTCCAGTCTCTGTCTCCATCATCACATGACATTCTCCCTGTATGTCTCTGAGTCTCTGCTATATGTTTTTATAAGGGCACAAGTCATTATGATAGGGCTCACCCTAATCCATCTTGACTAATAATATCTGCAAAGACTCTATTTCCAAATAAGGTCACATTCACAGATGTCAGGGGTTGGACTTCAACATCTCTTTTTGGGAGTCATAATTAAGCCCATAACAGGTGGAATCTGATGATTGCCACTGACATTTAAAAATATATTTAAACATCTCTAAAATCAGGATATATTTCACAAATTGATAGTATCTAAGATTCTGTGTGACACATTTCATAATGTGATAATGGCTATGAAGGAAAAAAGATCGAGAGAGGATGACGAGTGTGTGGGAGTATGATTTGGGGTTGAGTGGTCAGAGAAGACTTTCTTATGCAGGTGACATTTAAGTAGAGAATCATTACTTAGAAAGAGCCAGACATGCAAAATCTGGAGCCAAGAGTATTTCAATTAGAGGGAATAGTAAGTGGAAAAGCCTTGAATTGGAAACGTTTGGTACACTTAAAGAATGGCAAGAAAACCAGTATAGCTGGAGAATAGCAAGGAAGAAAGAGGTAAAAATAAGTCTGAGGGCCTAATGAGCACTTATTAACATTAAGAGTTAAGAAGATGTAATTTCTGAAGATAGGGTGTTCTTGAGAGTGAAGTTACTCCCAAAGACATTTTAAAACTCCCATATTTGATGCTATAAGAAACCCTTTCTAGTTTCTATAACACTATTATTCCCTTTTTTTGGATCCCTTTGACCTCAGTATGTGAACAATTTCTTGTTAGGTTCAATATTTTAGAAACTCGATATTTTGGAAATCTCTTATGTGAATTATTTAAATACTTTATGCTTTCTGAAAACTAACTTCTCAACTTTATGAATTTAAAATACCTCATTGCTGGGGTGCCTGGGTGGCTCTGTCGGTTAAACGTCCGTCTTCGGCTCAGGTCATGATCTTGCGGTTCATGAATTTGAGCCTGATGGGTTGGTGAGTTTGAACCCCATATAGGGCTCGCTGCTGTCTGTGCAGAGCCCTCTTCGGATCCTCGGTCCCCTCCTCTGTCTGCCCCTCCCCCACTCGCATGCTCACTCTCTCAAAAATAAATAAAACATAAAAAAAAAAAAAATCTCATTGCCATTTCTTCACCAACAACCAATGTCTTATTTTTCTTGAAGATTCAAGCAAAGTATTCAGTTCTTGAGCAAAATCCCACCCTAGAAGCAGAGTCTTATTCTAATTTACCAAAAAGGTGAGTACAATTTTACACACCTCAGCGTTATCTAATTGTTTGGGGGAGTGCAAATCTCATGCTTAGAACTCATTGTGATGCTGGGAAGAGGCCTCTTTGGGGTGCTGCGGTACCATCATTGCTTTCTTTTTGTTTCAGTGGCATAAAAGAAGCAAAAATGGTGAAGCAACAGAATAAACAAAAGATAAGGCTGAAAAGTGCAGACGCTTCTTCCTTTGGCCCCAGGACTCCTGAAATAAGTGAAAAGGAAGGGTTAGTTTTACACCCTGCTGAACAGAGCAGTTCGTTTGACATTTTGGAGCTAAATTGTGGTTGTAACAAAAATGCTGACACAACCGTGAAATGGGAGCCAAAGGCATTTCCAATAGTTGGGGAGCCTCTTCAGAAACATCAGAGTCTAGACTGGAGCCCCGTTTTGTTTAATTCCAAACCTGCAAATGTAGCAGGGGGATATTTCAACTCAAAGGGGCCGATAACGCGGACCAAATCAACTTCCTTTGAACTGATGCAGCAAAGAGACACCAAGGAGCTGGATATCAAGGAGAATGTTTTGTGTTTGGAACCTCAACCGCACAACTCTCCTCTTGGGCGGGCTCAAAAAGCGATGCACGTTTCTTCAGCAGAACTGAATTATTCACTGCCATCTGACTCTCGGCGCCAAACGGGCAATGCCTCTAATGCAAAGCAGCAGGACTCTAGTGCTGTTCAGGTGCATTCTTACATGTCCTTGGAAGATCCTTTTTTTTCATCATTGTCACCAAGTAGCACTGGTTCTAAGATGTCTCTTGATTTACCTGAGAGGTCAGATGGAACCACTTTACCTCGTTCTCCACTGCCCGCGTCCTCCACAACCCTCTTCTCTTGCTACAATTCACATGATTCTTTAGCACTGAGTTCTCCAACTGGTCACCCTCCACCCCTGGACCAAGAGACAGCAGTAGTCGGTAAAGTATTTCTGAAAGTGTGTATAACATTTTAGATTTCACTTTGTTTCTATAGAAGATTTGGTTTCTTCTCATCCCTGCACACCCCTCCCCTCATCTTTCTCTGCTTCTTTCTCCTTCTTCCTTCTCCTCCTCAAAGAAGTAAGTTCCAGAAGTGTTTTAATGATGCGGTAAGTTAAAAAAAGGCAATAACAAACATGTAATGGTTGATGAAACAGGCAGCAGAGGAGGCAGTCGGATCTATGCCAGTCAGAGTGCCTGTAAAGAAGGCAATCCTTATTTCTTGAAATGTGTATGAGAGGTCCACAATTTACCCTTAATATGCAGAAACAACTTCCAAAGGAACAGCAGAAAGGATTTGATCAACAGCACCACGTGGTCACTGGGGATTCTTATTACACTTTTTCTTTTTCTGTCTTTCTTTTTTAAAAAAAAATTTTGAGACAGACACAGCGTGAGCAGGCGAGGCGCAGAGAGGCGGGGAGACATAGAATCTGAAGCAGGCTCCAGGTTCTGAGCTGTCAGCACAGAGCCCGACGCGGGGCTCGAACTCACAAACTGCAAGATCATGACCTGAGCTGAAGTCGGTCACTTAACCAACTGAGCCACCCAGGCACCCCTCTTTTTTTTTTTTTTTTTTAGTATATTTATTTGTTTTGAGAGAGAGTGCAAGTTGGGTGGGGCAAAGAGAGAGAGACAGAGAATCCCAAGCAGGTTCGGCACTGACAGCGTGGACTCTATTGTGGGGCTCCAACTCACAAACTGTGAGGTCATGACCTGAGCTGAAACCAAGAATCGGACACCCAGGCACCCCAAACATTTTCATTTTTTTAAAAAAGATTTTATTTTTTTGAAGTAATCTCTACACCCAACATGGGGCTTGAACGCACAACCCCAAGATCAAGAGTCTCATGTTCCACTGACTGAGCCAGCCAGGTGCCCCCACTTGGGATATTTATTGCACAATCATGTGGCTACACTGAGTTAAACAGCTAAGAACTGAATTCTCTTACGTAGGAGTTGGAAGAGGAGGACCTGATTTCTTGCTGTTCTTGTGTAATAACTTAGTAGATGAGAATGTGTAGTTAGTATCCTGTGTAGGCCTTTAATCTTATATACACCTTTACGTTCATACTTTCTCACTTTTTTAATTCTAGATTTTTGCAAATTCATATTATTTTTGTTTTATTGAGTGGTTTGAAAGTAGAAGTAAATATCCTGTTAGAGATGACTAGAATAGCTTGATATGAAAGAATGTGAAGAAAAGAGCAAGTGTGACTCTACAGGTATATTATCAGAAATTTATAAATAACATTTTACGTGAATAGGAAGTAGAGAAAGCTTTTTTTCCTATAACATTATTTATTATATAGTTTCTTAATAGATGTGTGTATATGGTGTATGTAGCTTTGTAACAAAAATGTTTTATCTGGATTTAGTTCCTTCTCTGATTATTTTATATACTTTGATCTTGTTTTATAATTTAAAGGATTTTGTTTTGTTTTGTTTTGTTTTGTTTTAAGATACCCACAGTATCTTAGACTTGTTTGAGTACCATCAGTAAAAACAAATCTTAGCTTTAGGGATTGTAGTGGCATTGACATGTGTGCCACCTGGTGGCAGTTTCTTGTAATAGCATTTGAATTTTTCTATACAAATTCTGAATTTTTCTACAGAAAAATAGAAAACGCTGTTACACCATCGTTTTGTAAAAAGGAAAAAAAAATCCTTATTCTTTATTGTAGAATAAAGAACGGATACTAACACATTTATAACTCTACCTACTCTGTCGCTGAATCCTTGGCATGTTTCAAAGTGCTATATCATCCTTTATTGTATATTCTATGTAAAACAAAAGGGTTGTATAGAAAACAATTCAAAACTCCATGAATCAATATAACGTTTTATATTTTCTTGACTGGTACTCAGTGACTCAATCAAAATATTTTTGGGCTTTTAAAAAAATTGTAAATTTTGAAGCAACAGCAAAACCTCCTGGGTTTGCAACTTAAATAAAATGGGAGAATTTATCTTGCTATCTCCTTGAGTAAACACATACCAGCTCAACTGTTGTAGCGATGTTTGATGGAATTTACATTGCGATTAGAACGTAAGAATTTCCTTTGGATTTTTCTAATTAAAAATTATGATTATATTTCTGACATTTTGGATAGCAACTTCTCCAAGGATAGATGATGACATTCCCCCTCCACTTCCGGAACGGACACCTGAATCTTTTATTGTGGTGGAGGAAGCCGGTGAGTACGGTTGAGTTAAGTGTAAAATAAAGTGTGGATTAACTAGATTACCTCTCAGGTCCTGTTGATGGTCTGTGTGCTATTGCTAAGTAACATTTGCTTTCTAAAAGAATGACAACACTCCTAAGAATTGGACCATATTTACTTTCTTTCAGGAGAATTTCCACAGACTGTTCCCAAATCCTTATCTTCAGCTGTGAAGGTAATAATTGGAACATCATTAGAATGCAGTGGAACATCTGAGTCAAAGAAATCTGATGACTCTGTGAGACTTAGACCAACTAAGGTCGATAACTTTTTTTTTTTCCTACTCATTGGGATTCAACAGACTGTAGTCCTACTTCCTGTATTTTTAGCACCTATCCACTCAGTAAGCACTAAGCAGTACTACTTGTAAAGCAACGTGCTAGAGGATGTGGGAATAAAAAGATGTATGCAACACAATTATTGGGGCGCCTGGGTGGCTCAGTTAAGTGTCCAACTCTTGATTTCGGCTCAAGCCATGATCTCACGGGTTAGTTCGAGCCCCATGTTGGGATCCATGCTGACAGCACGGAGCCTATTTGGGATTCTCTCTCCCTCTGTCTCTGCCCACCCCCACAAATAAATAAATTAGCATTAAAACAAAGACACAATTATTGCCCTTAAGAAACTTACAGGTTGGAAGTGACTAAGGATGACTTAGTGAAAGAGGAAATATTTGAGCTGGTTCCCGAAGGACAGTTAAAGCAAAAATAAATGTTTCGTAAGTAGGTAGCTTGTTCCTAGTAGTCATTTGGTAGGCTGTATTATATTAGCTGTGATATCATAGGGTAGAGAATAATTTTTTGAATGACACGTCCATATTACTTAAGATAAAGTTTTTGGAATAATGCTCCCCACTTCTGGAAGAAAAACCTACACTTCAGTAATCTGTTGTGCATTTATATATTCTATGAACCAACTATCTTAAAATTTCAGAGATCAGAGAAGTAATTAACTAAACAAACATTTCAAAGTGCCTACAACTGCAATGCTGGCAGGCAAATATTCTCTATCTTTTTAATTACACTTTGAATTTATTAGTAATTATTATTGTTAATAATCTGTCCACATGTAATAGTCTTTATCTGAACAACTCCTAGAGCCAAAACAATCACTCCTTTTCTAATGTCATGAAGTAGTTTCAATTTCAACAATTTACCTCCCGTTAAATTTCCTGGGAAACGTGCTGAATAGGAAGGAAATACATTTAAAAAAAGGATCAATTTAAGACCAATTACTGTGACATATAAAAATCACTGTAAGGTTTGGAAGGGGATACTTGCAAACGATATATTCGATCAGGGGTTAATATCCAAGATATATAAAAAACTTACACAACTCAACACCAAAAAAACCTCAAATAATCTAATTTAAAAATGGGCAGAAGACATGAATAGACATTTTCCCAAAGAAACATAGAGATGGCCAACAGACACATGAAAAGATGCCCAACATCACTAACCAGCAGGGAAATGCAAATCAAAATCGCAATGAACTATCACCTCACACTAGTCAGACTGGCTAAAATAAAAAACACAAGAAACAAGTATTAGTGAGGATATAGAAAAAAAGGAACCCTCGTGCACTGCTGGTGGAAATGCAAACTGGTGCAGCCACTGTGGAAGACAATATGGAGGCTCCTCAAAAAGTTAAAAATAGAATTTCCATATGATCTAGTAATTCCACTACTGGGTATTTACCCAAAGAATATGAAAATGCTAATTCAAAACGATATATGCACCCATATGTTTACTGCAGCATTATTTACAATAGCCAAGATATGGAAACAACCCAAGTGTCCACCCATAGATGAATGGATAAAGAAGATATCACACACACACACACACACACACACACACACACACAGGAATATTATTTAGCTATAAAAAAGAATGAGATCTTGCCATTTGTGACAAAAAAGAGGGTATTATGCTCAGTGACATAATACAGAGAAAGACATATCATTTCACTTATACATGGACTTTAAGAAGCAAAACAAGGGGCGCCTGGGTGGCGCAGTCGGTTAAGCGTCCGACTTCAGCCAGGTCACGATCTCGCGGTCCGTGAGTTCGAGCCCCGCGTCAGGCTCTGGGCTGATGGCTCGGAGCCTGGAGCCTGTTTCCGATTCTGTGTCTCCCTCTCTCTCTGCCCCTCCCCCGTTCATGCTCTGTCTCTCTCTGTCCCAAAAATAAATAAATGTTGAAAAAAAAAATTTAAAGAAGCAAAACAAACAAGGAAAAAAGAGACAAACAGAAAAACAGACTCATAACTATGGAGAACAAACTGGTGGTTGCCAGAGGGGAGGAAAGTGGGGAGATGGGTGAAATCAGTGAAGGGAATTAAGAGTATACTTATCTTGATGAGCACTGAGTAATGTGTAAACTGTTGAATCATTATATTGTGCATCTGAGACTAATATAACTCTGTATGTTAATTATACCTGAGGTTTAAAAAAGAATAAAACATTTTTAAAAAATTCATAAGCTTGCTTTGAAAAAAAGAAAAAGAACAAAGAAACTTACAAAAAGAAAATAGAGCACTGTAAGAGTTAAGGATGCCTTTTCATAATTCAGTGAGTGCATTTATAAATTTGTAAAATAGGATCAACATTTTGTAACTGTCTCTGGAGGTATATGAAATATGATTTCAAAAATGTCTTTTATGGCTTTGAGTTTGTAAATTTGTGTATCTATCCTTATTTCACTTTTCCTTTCTTTCTTTTTTTTAGAGTGTAAAGCTGTGGAGTCCCCAGTCAGGTAAAAAAATTTCCCTTGGCTTTAGATGACATTTAGCCCTAAGAATTTATACTATAGGAATGACTCAGTAAGTTTAGAGTAATTCACCTCAGGAGATGACATAGTTCCCATAATAGCTACCACTATTTATTGATTTATTTCTGATTTTCCCAGGCTAGGAGTTTTGTTTTGCCAAGGGCAAGGTAAACACAGGGTTTTAGAATTCTGTTCCTTCATATATATTCCTCAGAAAAAAAACAAAACCTCTTTCAGATAGAATCTCTTAAAGCTTTGAAGCATTTCTGTTTTATAGGTTTTACCATTGTTAGAAATGTGATTCTTTAGATCTTTAACTTGCTGTGCTTTTCCAGTACTTTCTTGAGCTTCGCTTGTTTCATACATCAAATAACAACATCCACAGCTAACATTTATTGGGCATTGATAGGTAGTTTATATACATTATAAGACGTGGTAGTTGCCCTTAACATATTTATTCATATGAACATATTATTTAAATATGCATAGGTTGTTTAACATTGAGATTAATGAGCACGGGCTCTGGAGTCGGAGAGGCTTTAGTTCAAATCCTTAGCCTACCAGTAGTTATCAAGATGCATAACCTTGGTTAAATTATATACTTCTTTATTGATTTTTCTCATTTATAAAATGAGGATAAAAGGACTCATTTCTTAGAGGATTTTTGTAAGAGTTAAGTGAGATAATGCAGAAAGAGCTTTTTTTTTTTTTTTT